CCAAAGCCTGGAAGCTGGCTTGCGACATATACAATTCACCTGGGCCTTTGCCAGGGTGGAGCTGTACCATCTGTGGTTTGTTTCTGCATACCTGCCATCCATTAGTTAACATCTCTAAGCACACCTGAGGGACGATCATGGGTGCGGTGTTTTCTCTTGATGTGCCCTACAACAGCAGGTAACCTCTCTGAGCCTGCTTCTGCTTCTGTAAAATGGAGATAATGGCAGAAGCCTCACAGATGAGTTGTGGGGACAGCTAGGTTGTTGTGGTCACTTAGACAAACTGAAATCAGCAAGGCCCCAAACACATGTCCCAGAATTGGACATCTAACAATTAATATCCCAGCTTCTCCAAAGCTTGCGCCTGTGTTCTGGAGAAAACCACTCAACTGCTTAGTTTCTCCATGCAACAAGTGAAGAAAATGAGGTCAGTTCTAACTAGAACAGAAGAGGGTCCCTTATTCAGCCAGTATTGCCCACTGCCCATTCCATGTCAAGACTAATGCTTCTGAGGTGATTCAGAGCCAGGGGTCTCAGGCCTACTCGGCAAGTGGAACAGAGAGACCAAATTCTCCTCACAGCCAACCTAGCACTAATAAATCCCACCAACCCCCCAATCCTACTGCACTAGTCCCAACCACCACCACCTCCTTCATTAACACAACAGTGGCCTTCTAGCTGGTATCATGCCTTTTGCACTTTTCTTCCACTACTCTTTGTGGGGCGACTGCAAGAAATGGAGTCACTTCTGTTTTAGGGATAAATGCTCCGGTGTTATATGGAAGAATGATTGGAAGAAAAGAGGAAGAGAAGCAGTGAATACCAAGCATGAGACTGAGCCTGTCCCTTGTTCCCTAGGCTGCCCAGCAGAGCCAGAGTAGTCATCCTAAAATAAGACTCAGATCCTGTTACTCTCCTGCTTTAAGTCCCTTCCAAAAAATGTACACCAGACCACACGTGACTTGCATCCACCTCACTTCATCTCCTAAGTTTTTCTCCTTCTCTCAACATCCTCAGCCAACCTCGCTCCCTGATTATTCCTCCACCCTCTTTGCTGCATGCCTGCATGCTAGTCCTTTGTCCTCACTCCACTCACCAGGTTTCAGCCAGGGCTACTTCCTCAGAAATACCTCTGTGACCATCCTCCCATCAGAATTAGATTCTCCTAAGTTTTGCCCTCTCTTACATTATAACATCTTCTTTTTCTCAATAGCACTTCTAATAATTTGCCTCTATGGGCTTCTATTTGTGTGATCACTTATTTGAGGTCCCTCTTCCCCTCTAGACATGAAACTATGAAATTAGAGGCTATATTGTCTTTTCATGTATATGCATAATCTAGGGTGGTGATTGGTGGATAGAAGGTACTCAACAAAATTGGAAAATTGGAAGGAAGAAGAGAAGGAAGGAAGGAAGGAAGGAAAGAAGGAAGGAAAGAAGGAAGGAGTTTGGATACCTTCAAGTATGATGACTATCACCATGGCTATATTCATGGATGGTCAAGAAAGGTGTGCAGGATAGCTACTGTCAGAACTGAGTTTAGGAAGATGAGTGTTGTCTTATCAGATAAGCAAAGGGTGAGAAGGGCATTCTGTGCAGAAGGAATGACATGTTCAAGGAGGATGAGGCATAGGAAACTCCTAGAGAATGTAGAAACTCTTTGGCAGGGTTTTTCAACCTCACGACTGCTGATATTTGGGTAGAATAATTCTTTGTAGGAGGGGTTAGGTGAAGCTGTCATGTGTACTGTAAGATATTTAGCAGCATTCTTGACTTCACTCACTAGATGCCAGTAGAATCACCCCTCCACTTATGATGACCAAAAGGTCTCCAGACATTGATAGATATCTCCCTGAAATGCAAAATTCTCCCCCATTGAAAACTGCTGCTTGAGAGAAGTGTGACATGCTGGTGTTCAAGGGACAAGGTAGGAATAGAAGAATGGAAACCAGTAGCTAGACAGTGCAAGACCAGGAATGCCAAGGTGAGGGCTGCGGATGGAACCATGTGAGAATGAGGGACTACAAAGGGTTTCCATGGGAGCGGACTGGTCACAAAGGTAAGGAATCTCCGGAGCAGTGAGGAGAATTAAGTGAAGATAAAACACCCTGAGGCTGGCCACCACCTCTCCCAGAGCAGCCACCAATCTCTCCAGCACTGGACAGGGAGGAAACAAAGAGGTGGTGACATATTTCTGGAGAACAACTCCAAGGGCCTCACTTGCAGGTCCAGGAGCCTATCTGGAAGGGAGTTCAAGGAGCTGTAGCCACATAAAAGGGAACATAGAGTTTGAGGAAGCATTCTCCCAGGGTGGGAGGTTTCTTAGCATTGGAGCCAGAATGATGCAAAAATAAAAAGTTGGGGTGTCAGGAACATTAAGCCTGGTTGTTCTACTCCTTGTCTATGGAATTTGGGCAGGCCACTCTATTAACCAGAGCCTTGTTTTCCTCATCAGTGTGGTTGGTGTACCAAAGCTCACCTCACACACCTAAGGGAGGAAAATCAAGTCACACTGTGGGCTAGTGACTGAGTTAGAGCTAGAGACTAACTCCGTGGATTCTCAGGCAAGCTCACTCCTCACTCCTGCTGATATGGGAGGTTCTGGATGGAACAACATTGCCCAGGTTCCACAACCAATAATGCTCTGTGTCTGAGTTTCTTTAAAACTTGGATTTTAATAGAACTCCTTGTCAGATTCTACTAACTATTGAAAGAATGAAAGTTCGTGTGTGTGTGTGTGTGTGTGTGTGTGTGTGTGTGTGTGTGTGTGGCTCAGGACAACATCTAACATTTAGGAAGCACTTGAAAAATGGTAACTATTATTCTTTCATGGTCAGTTTTGTGCCTGACATTTTATAGATGGGGCCACATCTATCTTTGATCTGACTCTTGTAAGTTAAGTGTGATCCCCCTCACTTCACAGAAGAGGAAACAGGTCTACTTCCTAGAAAGAGTTTTTCCATGAACATCTGGGGTCATCTATGATGTGTCCCTGTAGGAATGTGTCCCTTTAGGAATTTGGAGTCAAACTGGGACCCATAGCATTTTTTAGGTTGCATGTTTCCTTTTCCTTGCAAAGAGGTCCCACCATAGAAATAAGATATTTATGCTTCAAGCTTTGTGTGACTTTCTGGTACTGCTGGACTGGATGCTGAGTAAACACTGGGTCAGTCTCTTCATTCAAGGAGAGAAGAAATCCCAGGTGGATAGGGAGAGTAAGAGAAGAAAGAGATCACAGCAATCTCTATTTGCAGTTGTATGGATGGTTGGGAGAAAGGAAACCTTATCACAGTCGCTTTTTCTTGCACACTGCTTAAGTCTGCAAAGCTGTAGCTGTTGGCCTCAGAACCTCAGGACAATATCTCCCCTTCTCCCCTCCAGCTTCCTCTTATGTCTAGATTCAAATTTTAGCATTTCCATTTACTCTTTCTGATAACTTGGATAATTCAAAAAATTTTAACCTATGAGTTCATAACTCTTGATTCCTAGGAGTATCACCCATCTAAAACAACGGTTCTCATCTTTTGATGCACATAGGAGTCACTTGGAGGAAATGTCATTAATACTGATATCCAGCTCTTACTGTAGACATTCTAATAGAATTATTCTGATATATGGCTCAAGACATCAGGAGTTTAAAATCCCCACATGACTCTAATATGTAGTCAAAATCCATCTGATATGCATGTGACAAATTCTCGACACTATCTCTTCATGATTCTTTAGTGTTAACTGCCTGTTCAAAGTTATGTTTAAAGGTGCTATCAATTCTCAGGATGGCTCAAGAATTCTTTATTTCTGCAACCCCATCATGGCATATATTCTCATGTTGACAACCTCTGAACTTTCAAAACAAATGACTCAATCCCCAACCAATCAGCCAGGCTCTTTATCTAGCTTTGACTCCTCTTCTGTTGATTGGATGGAGCCAATTGGTTAAGATACACAATACCTTCCTGGACATGCCAATGAGAAAATCAAACAGATGGAATGATCCATTGTTCACCTGCAGCCAGGGAACTCCATCATTTACCTCCAAATCTCTTCCTTATGGTATGTACAAGCTCATATTACAAAATAGCAAGTTTTCTCAGCTGGATCCTAAATGACAATATTTCCCCACCCATCTACATGGTATAACACCCTCCACCCCAGTCTTTGTATGAATGCCACCTCCATTCTCCATGGACTACTCCCATGTCAGGAGATGTGCCATCAGTCAGTCACTCTTTCCCAGCCACGCCTCCACCAAAGACACTCTACTCCAGTCATGCTGCTCCCCAAAAGCTTCCCAACTGTGCCTTTGTGCATTTTTCTCTCATGGTCTACCTGAAAGGTTTTTACTCACCTTCAAGAACCCAGTTCTAATATTCCCCTCTGCAGCTCCTCTAACCTATCCCCCCAGTCCTATCCCAAAATCCTCCTCATCTTCTTCCCACCCTGACAGAATTTAGTTGTTTCCATGCATGTACTCTCACAATCTTTGTAATGCTCAGGCATAGAATTTACCATGATGCATTACACTCATTTGTCGTACTGAATAATGATTTCATATTTTTTTTTCTTTTTCTAACCAACTCCTGGTAGAGACAGGGCCTGAGCAGGTGCAAACTGAATGTTTGTTGGACTAAATTCAAGTCTCTGTCCTCAAATCTATGCTAGCCAATTTTTGAAACACCTCCCAAAATAATCAAGACAGGTTTTTTTCTGTCACCACCTAGGAGCTTATTTGTATTCATCTGCTGTGATAAAATTTTAACAAGGAAAGGTCAATTTGCTCACCCATGTATGTAGATACAAGCAAAAAATGAACAAACACCATAAATCTGAAATAACACACAGCTGTCTTGTCTCTGGAAACAATAACTACATTTTACAAGAAAGGGAGTATATTTGGCTGATTAAGGAATGAAAGGGTTTGTAGTGGAATGTTTTGCTGTTTTATTGCCTTTAGAAGGGGGATTCCAAGGGGCTTATTAGAAGAAGAATGCCTGATTTACCTTCTCCGGAGCAGGCAGTTGTAAGTGATTAACCTCCAAAGGAGTGATGAGAGGAACGGTCTGGAAGCCATCCTCAACTGAAGGTGGCTTGGTTCCCTTCTCGTTGGGGTTACTGTTCAGCTTCACCATCCTTAAGCCTTTCTTCCCAGACCTAAGGCAAGTAATGGGATTCTGGTTACAGCAGGAGGTGAGGCAGGAAAGGAGAGGGTCGAAGACAGAGAAAATAATGCTGTCCTCAACAGCTCTACTTGGGTGGCTTTCAATGTAGTGATCAGTGATCGATCTTCCACTAGATTTTCTGACATGATTCCCATTGTCCAGTAAAACTTCTTTAATCATCAGAACATGCCACCTGATCACTGGGTTCAACAGCCCTCAAATGGGAGGAACCAAGGAAAATCCCAGACCTACATGAAAAACAGCTTTAAAAATATTCAAGACACTACAGCTAAAGTGTTCATATAATCCCAGTAGAAAATGTAATCTTAGTGCCAAATGAAATTCTGCGGTATGATAAATTTCACTTCATCCTCTGGTTTGTTTTCGGTTTTTTGGTTTGGGGGGGGTGGTATGGATTTTTCTTCATCAATCCCCCGAAAACACAAAAGATACATGCAATATCTCTAGCTGTTCCCTTTTGCATCATATATAGATTTACATTAGATTCAATTTCCTAAAACAAAACCAAAGGGGGGGTGGTGGCTGGCACGAACCTGATCCTGTTATTCAGGTATGGAATTCCTCCATTTCCTCAATAGCGAAGGGCCATTTTTTGTTGTTGTTGTTCCATGGAAAGTTAGCAGCCCCCGTACTGCAAGATTGCCAACTAAATAAGCAAATCACATTTATTCCTCTCCAGCCCCCCTGGAAGTCAAACAGTGCTTTCACCCCACCCTCAAAAGCCCAGCCCAACTGAATTTCTCTTGTCAAACATGCTAATGGAACGTTATTAGACAAAACAGGGTTGTTGTGGGGAAATCAGGGGTGGTAAGGATTTAGAAGATAGTGGGGAATGGTTACAACAAAAACAAATGCCTACTTACTGCGCTGCACTCTTGGGGGATCAGAGCAGATTCAAGCCAATCTGAAGAGGAGGAGGACAAGCAGGAGTCCTCCCTCCTCAGCCCTGAGCTTGTGGTGCTGAAAGGACAGCGCCTCGCGTGTGTCAGGATCCGGAGCTTCTGAGAGCGAGGCGCCAGAGAGCGGGGAAGATCTCCTGACAGCTGCCTGCTCGCTTACTCGCTCGCGCCCCCTCCCATCGGGGAACAAGCTCCACACCATCTGTCATCTGGCACCACCTGCTGTTTCTCATGCATGGCCACAACCACTGCATGGTACAAAACGGTTTCAAGAAGGTGGGACGAATTCTGGCCACATCAAATATATATTTTTTTTTAATAATATGCATTACGTATATAGAAAGCAATTCTTGAGACTTTGCAAAAACTGGGAAAACAGGTTAACTTTTAGGAAAGATGATCATCTCCTAAGAGCTTCCTGAACAATATTATGAAACATAGAATGGTTCCAGAGCTACACTGTAGTCTGACTTAGTAGAGAAAGAAAACCAATATTTATTGCATATTTACCATGCAGTGAGCACTTTTCCAGCCTGAAAGAGGCTCAAGCTATCTCTTTCATTTGCAAAATGTGGCTTCTAATAGTACCTACATGATGAGGTTACTGTGAGGCATGAATAAGATAGCACAGGGAAAGCAATTAGTACAAGAGCAAATGACAAGCACTGCATAAACATAAGCTACTACTCTCACAATTGTACTGTAATCATATAGGTTAACTAAGGTCACAGAGCTGAAATAGCACCAGAACTGGGATTTGGACTCTGGTCCATTGATAACAAAGTTTATATCTGGCACACAACACTACATAACATCCAGTTATGGTCTAAAATCGGAAAGGGCAAGATTCTAGTGTCAGCTGTGCCCAATTCTGACTATGTGATCTTGAACTTTTTGCAATCTCTCCCTAAGCTCCCATTTCCTTATCTCTGATTGAAAATAATAGCTTCCCTTGCAGAGTGGTGGCACATGAGAAGAGCTTATGCTCAAGAAAATTCCTTTTAACTTGAGGTTGAGGTTCTGAATGACAGAATTATTTCAATCCTAGAGATTGCTCTTACACTCTCTTCAAATTCTGTAAGGTCAAGACCATTGCCACTGGTTTTCCCCTGCTGTGGTTCAAATAACTGTTGCTTGTTCATCCTCAGCTATAGTGCTGTTTATGATGCATTTTATGAGGTTCAGCTGTCTTGGCATTGTAACAGTATCCCCTTTTGCTTTAAGAGTATCCTGCTTGGCATGATGAAGTGTTTGATCACTCTCGCTAATGCTCACATGCTAAGGATGTACACTTCTAGCTAAAACCTAGAAGAAAACATACATATTATCTGTATAACTCAGTAATGAAATTGTCTGTCTGTCTCTGTGTGTGTGTGTGTGTGTGTGTGTGTGTGTGTGTGTGTGTGTAGAGAGAGAGAGATTTCTGAGGCAATAAAGGCTATAACACACCAGGGTTAAACAGGGCACTATTAAGAGACCCATGCATAAAGGTGAGAAGGAGGGTTCTAATTAATGTTAGTCATCCACTCCCTTTCCCAAAGACCTAGATGATTTTAAAGTTCAAGCATTGTCTAATGATAACACAATGTATCCAACCACATGTATTTAATTGTGAATACTTGTATTCCATCATATTATTGCTGCCCCCACAACAAAATAAAACCTCAATGTTTCATGAATGGTCCACAAGAAGAAACTGCCCTTTTAATAACACCATACCAGAATTCCTGAGAGTTTATTAGCATCCAGAAGAAGAGCCTGTATCACAGCAATAGGAAATCCTAATATGTGGAATAGGGGAGAGGCTATAAGGATAAAGTGGAGTGGGGTTGGAGTGATGTGAAAGATTTTCCCCTTCTTAGAGAATGAGGGTGAGTGGTTCTTAGTAAAATAGGCTACTATTCTTCTATAAAGATTTTTTACATTTGATGGTTGAAAATGAAAATAAGTACATCTTCTGATGAGGTTTTCAATGTATGTAGATGTAACATATAAGATAATTAATTACAGAAAGAGTGGAGAATAAAGGAGCCAATATGGTGGCAATGTTTCTATATTCCACTTAAAGTGGTAAAGTATTGGTTCCAACTAAAGCATGTCTATTGTATTCTCAGCCTGACCAAAATGACACAAAGTGATATAGTCAAAATGCAATGGATAAATCAAAATAGAAGAGAAAAAATTCAAATAAACAAAAGAAGGCAGTAAAGAGTAAACAAAAAATTGAGAGAACAGGAGAAAACAACGAAATAATGTACTTACATCTAAACATATCAATTATTACATTAAATTTAAATGATATAAACAAGCCAATTCATAACAGAATTTTTCAAAATGGAGGAAAATATGAACCAAATATATGCTATCAATAAGACATAATACTATACTATACTACTTCAAACATAATACTATAAGGTTAAAAATAAAAGGATGGGCTTTTGGTTCTGCAACTTTCTTATGTCACCCCATTTCTAATTTAATTCAACATCAGTTATCTCTTCCACGTCTTTCTGTTAAAACCACAATATCAATGTCATGTGCCTGAGACATATTGGTGGAAAACTCGGTGCCTTTAGCCTGGTCCCTAAAATGAGCTTTCCAGGTCTTGCTTTCAAAAATAGGTTAGATATTATGTATTGTTTAGCTGAAAAAATGGCTGATTGGGAGAACCTAAGGATTACAGAAAAACTAATTAAGAACACATAGACGTAGACTGCAGTAGAACCTTCTGCCTTTGTCCTGATCATTAAGGTCCTTAAAGAACTGCCAAGAGATAGAAAGAATCAGAGAAACAGTAATCAGAGTAGAAATACAACTTTTGGTGTGATTGTCAACATTGCCTGACAGATACAGCTAATATTTAGCTAGAGAACTCTCTAGAATATTTTAAGAGCTCCTAGGGACTTCCCAGTCTGTGGTCTGCACTACTGACAGCCACCACACTTCAAACACTTCAAATGATGTCAATGATAGGGCAGCAGAATGTCCAGCTGGCTAAGAATGACAAAGGAAAATCTTTCAACAAATTATCACTTGACAATGACAGCCAAAAAGATAAATATATTTTTAAAAGATAAATCATGATAATTCTGACAAAAAGAAAGCTGAATTGGCTATGTTAATATCAGACAACAAAGTACACTCCATAGCAAATTACTAGAGATAATGAGGAGCACTGAATATAACAAAAATACTAATTTCCAAAGAAGACATGAAAATCTTAAATATATATGAACCTGTTAACAAAGCTTCAACACATATTAAGCAAAACAAATGACATAACTGAAAGGAGGTATCAAGAAGGCCACAATTACAGCTTCAGTATTTCTCCCTCATTAATTGATAGAGCAAGCAAAACATCAACCATGACATAGAACAGGGTTCTCAACTTCAGGACTATTAATATTTTGGATTACATAATTGTGGGAGGTTATCCTCTGTATTGTTTAGCAATATCCCTGCTACATGCTCCTGCAAGCTGTGACAATCAAAAATGCCTCCAGACATTGATAAATATTCCCTGGGGGAAGGAAGGCAAAACCACCTCCAGTTGACAGCCATTGCTGTAGAAGAATCAAAAAGCACTATCAATAAACTGGATCTAACTGTCATTATAGACTATCTGGTCCAATAAAAGAAGCATTGTTTTTAAGTGTACATGAATCACTTACTAAGATAGATTATATGTTGATTATAAAACAAACTTGAACATTTCTTTAAATTTGAAATGAATCAAAGAATATTCTCTGACCATAATAGGATTAGACTAGAAATCAATAACAGAGTATTAATAGGAAAACCTCCAAATATTTGGATATTAAGCAACACACTTCTAAATAACCCATATGTTAAAGAGAAAATCTCAAGTTAGAAAATATTTTGTACTAAACAAAAATGAAAATACGAAATATCAAAATCCTAGGAGTGCAGCTAAGAGTGCAGCATTAAATGTGTATATTATGAGAAGAAAAGTCTCAAATAAGTAATATATGCTGTCACTCAGAAAAATAAAAGAAAAATAAGCCCAAAGCAAACAGAGAGAGAGAGAGAACAAAAAGCAATAGAGCAAATAAATGAAATCCAAAGTTTGTTCTTTGAAAAGACCAGCAAATTTGATAAATATGTAGGCAGAAGGCCAAAGGGAAAAGAGAGAACACACAAATTACCATTATTACTAAAGAAAGGTGATAATGCTACAGAGCATGCAGATACTAAAAAAATTAGGAACTACTACAAACAACCAATGAAGTAGATTCAATGGAGCCAATCCCTGAAAAATCATAAATTATCAAAACTCACCCAAAATGAAATGACAACCTGAATAGTAGTGGGTATTAAGGAAATTATGTTTGTAGGTAAAATCTTCTCCAAAATAAATCTTCAAATCCAAAACATTTCACTGGTAAATTCAACCAAATATTTTTAAATGAAATAATACCATTTTATGTAACCTTTTCCAGAAAACAGGTAAACAGTTTCTCACTTATCCTATGAGCCCATTAATATTCTGATATCAAAACTGGACAAGATAAAATAGCAACACTACTGGACAATATACCTCATAAATATAGGTACAAGTCTTCAGCAAAATACTAGAAAATTAAATCCAGCTGCAGGAAACAAATACACCATGAACAAGTGAGCTTTATCATAGCAGTGCAATTGATGGAGAAAAATGATTTTAAATGTAACATCCATTCACAATAAAAACTCTTAGAAAACTTGGAATAAAAGAAAATATATTCAACCTGAAAAGGGGCACTATAAAAAAAGTAATGTCATACGCAATAGTGAAATAGTGAATGCCTTCATTCCCACATTGAGAATAAGGCAGGAGTGTTCATTCTCTTACCACACCTATTCAACAACATATGTGCAATTCCCAGCCATGCAGTGAAGCAAGAATAACATGAGACATAAAGATTGGAAAGAAAGAAATAAAACTATCCCTTTTTTCAGACAACATAATTGTTTGCATAGAAAATTCCAAGAAAACTATTTCTTCAATTCATAGAACTAATGTATGGGTTTAGGAAAGTCATGGATAATGAATATATAAAATCAATCATATTTCTATATACTAGCAACAAACAGAAACCAAAATATTTTAAGTACCATTTACAACAGCTCCAAAAAATAAAAAGCCTT